CCTACCTGCTGAGGAACCGTAAGCAAGTCAAAAATAACCTTAGGTTTTTGATGTCATGTTTGTGATCGGGTTTGTATAGGATGAGTGGAAGAGACTCGGTTTGGTAGAATAGGTGGAGAACTAGAGGGAAGCAAGTTAGCTTGAGAATTAGAAGTGAAACCAGATGAAGTTTGGATGGTGAAGGTGTCCATGACAGTATCAGGGACAGAAATTTGTGGCTGAATTGGAAGTGAGGATTGAATAGTGGATCGAGAGCCATTAGTTGGAAGTGTTGTTGGGGTTAAAAGAAGGGGATTTTGAGGTGGAGCTAGAGAGGAATTTGAAGGAGGAGGGGTAGTAGATTGGAATGGAAATATGTGTTCATAGAAAACAACATGACGAGAGACATAAATGCGATTTGTTTGAGGATGTAGACAGCGATATCCTTTGTGAGAGGACGAATAACCTAAGAAAATACATTCTTGAGAACGATGGGAGAGTTTATTTGGAGAAGTGGGTTGAAACCAAGGAACACAAAGACAACCAAATGTGCGGAGATGGTTGTAAGAAGGTAGTCTGTGGTATAAAAGCTGAAATGGAATTTGAAGACGACAAGCTTTTGTGGGAAGAATATTAATGAGATAATTGGATGTTAAAAGAGCTTCAGCCCAAAAGGTATGTGGAAGATGGGCATTATGAAGAAGTGCCCGAGTTGTTTCCAGAAGATGACGATGCTTGCGTTCGGCAAGACCATTCTGCGCAGGGGTATAAGGACAGCTAATCTGATGTGTGATACCATGATGATTTAAATAAGCCCGAAAGGAGTTGCTTATGTACTCGCCCCCGCCATCAGATCGTAAATTTTGTATGGTGGTATTAAATGAGGTGTGAATAAGTTGATTGAAATGTCGAAATTTGGAGAATGATTCATCTTTAGAATGCATGAGATAGATCCAAGTATATCGAGTTGCATCATCTATAAATATAATGTAATAACGAAAACCATTAAAAGACTGAACAGGAGCAGGTCCCAAAACATCAGAGTGTATTAATTGAAATGGTTTAAGTACATGACTAGTAGATGAAGAAAAGGGTAACTTGTGACTCTTGGCCACATTACAAGACGTACACATAAAACTAGATGGAGGAGTACATATAAATGGAACTATACGAGATAAACATTGTAAAATGCTAAGGTTCGGATGACCAAGCCATGTATGCCATGGCTGGAGCTTGTTGACCGAGGAGTGCATGGAAAGCTTGAGGAGAAGTAGTGGGAACGGTGGATACAGGATAAAGACCATCTCTCGATTGACCCCGGAGAAGAGTGCTATTGTTCGAGAGATCCTTAATGAGGAAACCATGAGCATCAAAAAGAATAGAACAATTGTTATCAGAAGTTAGCTTATGAATGGAAAGAAGATTGTGAGATAGAAGTGGAACATGCAAAAGATTTTTAAGACGAAGCTTACGGTTCGAATCAGGAAGCGGCAATATTCCTTGCCCTGTATGACGAATGGGAAGAGTGTTTCCACTAGCAACAGAAACTGTATCAGCTCCAAAATAAGGTGTAGGCAGTTGTATGTGTGCAGCGTCAGATGTTAAGTGTGAAGAGGCACCAGAATCCAATACCCATTCTGTGATTGGAGGAGTCACATTGCTGTTAGAACCAGTGAGCAATGCACGCTGATTTTGAGTAGGAGCTGATGGAGCATACTGCATATTGCATCGGTGCCAACAATTTAAGGCAATGTGGCCCTGTTTACCACAAATTTGACAGGTTGGGCGATTAGAAGCCGGAACAGGCAGAGGAGGTGACTGATTGCTGTTGTAGTTCGGTATATACGTAGCATTTGGTCCGGAGGAATTTGTTAGAATATACCCTTAGTATTCGTTACTTATCCTATTCCATCTAATGTCAACATAAGTAGTGTTGCACTTTCTCTGCCATTTACTGGGCCCTGGTAATGGAGCAGCTCTTTAGCCGCTATCTGCAGAGAATGTTCCATGTAAAGGCTCACCAGCTTGCCTTAAAGCTTGGGCAAGAGTAGAGCAATACAAGGGTTCTGATTTCCTTCAACTATGCTTCTTCCAGTTCTGGTTTTCGGTTTTTAGTTTTCTTGCAGGTATCTAGAGAGAGCTCAACATGGTATCAGAGAAAGTGCAACACTACTTATGTTGACATTAGATGGAATAGGATAAGTAACAAATACTAAGGGTATATTCTAACATCTACCACCAAATTGATATAAGCAAAAACAAAAAGAGAACTAAATAGAGCTTAAAGAAAGGTAAGAAAGAGAGAGCAAAATAGTCAAAAAAAAAGAAGAAGAAAGGGATAGAAGACCATGAATTCAGATAGATAGGTAAGCAACCATCCCAACTAATAATTATCTAAAGCTTAATCTCATAAGAAACAAACAATAACAAAAAAAAAAAATCTAAGTAAAATTTGTACATCTTGAAAGAAAGAAAGAATTGAATATGTCAAAATGAAGGAGTGGGGAGTTAAGCCGGCCGCAGCTCTACCGAGGACGGGCACATGCAATTGCAAGGTGGACTTGCGAACCTCAATGGCTACTCTGCACATAGCAATCCAGGCCAGTTGAGTGCGGTGCACTCATCAAATAATACATGGCGTGACGCTGCATCTCCCAAGCTCATGCAAGATGCCCGCGTTCGTCGCACCCAATCCCCATACATAATATCATTTTATTGTTTATTTTAGTGATAGTTCTTTGATGATTAGATATTGGGCCGATTGTGCTTAGCTGGATATTTCAGGATCAGTGTTGAACATATTTTTTTATTTTTTGCGGTGTCATAAGTTGGATTAATTATTCTTTGTTGACGCCGAACGCAGTCCGGAGACTAACAAAAATGTGCCACGTCACCCGTGTACTCGGTACCGTAGCTCCGTACCACTCGGTACCGCTCGGTACTTTGGCTTGGTACTGCTGACGTGGCACATTCTGGTTGTTTTCTAGACGATGTTCTGCATCCGGTCTCTGTACAGAATAATTTCTCCGTAAGTTGATTACTATTCTAATGATCCTATTAGCGTTTCATTTAGGACAGTTTTTTTTTTTTTTTTGCTGTGCTTTTTAAGGTGTAATTATGATTTTTGTTTAGCTATTGTTATTTTGCTGCTTTTGAAAAATTTTGTGCTAAGAAACTTCTTCTTACAGCAGCTTTTTAAAAAACTATTTTCTCCTCAACAGTTGTAACCATCTCAAATGATCCTGGAAATATTAAAGCAGGCCTATATTAAGAAATGTAGAGATATATACCTAATAAGATTTGATTAAAAAGTATTTAAAATGATATTTTTTTATTAGATTTAAATGAGAATTGGACTTATGAAAGAGCTCAATAGAGAAAAGTAATTCATATAATTGATCTCACGTAATGTGATAAAAGGCGTCTTGTTGTTATTATTATACATTATTATTTTTTAGCAGATGTCTTTAATTTCAAATTCTGAAATTTTAAAAAGGATATAAATTAAGTTTTTAAATAAATTTTATGTTTATAAATAAATAAATATGATATATAAATATATATTAAATTTTTAATGAAACAAATATTCCTCATATTCTCTTTTAATTCATCCTTCCAATTTACAGCAAGTAATGACTCCATGTAAATATGTAAATCGTAAGGGCAATTTTGTCAATTGGCTTGATTTTACTCTGGTTTGATGGTTGATTTTATTTATTTATTGTCTTATTTTATCAAGTAAATTTTCTAATTTTATCTGAGGATAAGATTTTCTTTTCTAATTCCTTCATCTCGTTTATATTCTCAGCCAAATCATGCTTAAGCATGCTTAAGCGGCTTCTTTTCTAATTCTTTCATCTCGTTTATATTCTCCCAAATAAACATTCGAAAATTTAAAATACAACAAAAAATACAGTGCAGTCAAAATAATCTACGAAACAACCCTTAAAACAAAAGACAATAAAATTCATGGTAGATCAAATTACCCAATCTAAACTCTAAATTAAAATTTAATTTTCAGCCAAATCATGCTCAACTGCTCAAGCATACTAATTTTGAGTTGAATTTGGAGCTCGTTCAAGCAAAATTTATTCATTTCTGTTTTGTTTGGCATGGCTTTCTTATTATTTTATAAAACTGCTATAAAAAATAACTTTTTAAAACTTTTTATAAAAACAATTTTCTAGAATAATTTTTTTTAAGTAGCAAAATAATAATAATAATAATCACACAACAATTATAATTTTTATCTAAAAGACAAAACAGTAAGAAAATTATCCTAAATAAAACCTTAAAGATAGCATTTTATATAGTATCAATTGACAATAAATATATAGTAATTGATTAATATAAATACTTATGCTTAATGTAAACTAAATATAAATGTGTGCTTAAACATATGAGGTCAATCTTAAATTGAATCAAACTAATTTCAAATAAAGTGTTAGTAAATCTTACTAATGAGTTCATGCTCCCACTTCTATCACATCAATATTGTACTCAAAAGCTTATCCTTCGTTTCAAATTAAGATTTCGTTTGAAACAACTTTTTTGTTGTTTCATAAACTGATTTTTTAATTTAAAAAAATTATATTAAAAGACTACTTTAAAAAACAGTAAGAAAATTATCGAAATGAAGCCTAATTATGATAAGTGGAAGATCCGAATATGGAATCACAAGAATAGACAACATAAACCATTGCAAATGGGGTTGCAGTGGCATCACTGGAGGCCGAAAAATAACAAAGGTCGTGATGGGAAACTATGGGGGCGTTAGGGTCGCCGCAAGGTCGCGATGAGACATAAGGTCACAAGGGAATGTGGCGCACCAGGTCATGTTGGTTTCGTGACGGGACTCATCAAATTCGAGTGAACTTAGAATACATCGAAAATAATCAATAACGAAAATTTCACATATTTTAAAAAATTTACTTTGCATTTACTTTACTCCCATTAAACATTCGAAAATTTAAACCACTACAACAAATACAGTGCAGTCAGAATAATCTACCAAACAATCCTTAAAACGAAAGACAATATTTTGGAATGCTCAATTTCTTACTCATTAGTAGACCTGAATGAGAATCATCGTTCATAACTTAATAGTTAAGTTCAAGCTTATGAAGCACACTATCAAGAACTTCAAAAGCTATTGATGCAACCAGCTCGACGTGCTTGATATAGATGAAATCATGGCAGAGACACAAGAATATGTGTTTATTAGAACAAAATAACTACCAACAAGAAGTAAAAACCTGAAGAACTGAACTACTGAGGTTCGGATCAATGGGGATGCTAACATTAGATGTGGAAATGACTTGAACAAGTTGGAGAGCAGTTTTGTGTTCATCTCCACTTCTCAATCTCCCTTGAAGCTGCTTCGATTAACTTTTTAGTATTTACAACCATCTCATCCAGTAAAGCATCAATGCGGTCCCTATAAATTTGGCTGATAAGATATAGAATAATGTCGCGTGAAATCTAACGAAATAAACTAAGGGTATGTTTGGGACGGCTTTCTTACTGCTTTTTAACGCAGCTTTTTAGTTCAAAAATTTTCATTTTGAACTAAAAAGTTGCTTTAAGAAGCAGTAAGAAAGCCGTCCCAAATGAAGCCTAAGGCTTTATTTGGGATAGCTTTCTTACTACTTTTAAAATAACTTTCTAGTTCAAAAAAAATTTATACTAAAAATTTGATTTAAAAAGTAGTAAGAAACTGTCCCAAACAAAGTCTAAAATGGGCTGGAGAAAGTATCATGATTCTAGCTTCTCTGCATAACAGATAGCAGTAATGATGGACGAAATATCAGAAGTGATTGTAGACAATTCAAGAGTAACAACAACAAGTGCAAGTAAAAATAACTAATACTTCGATCCTAGCCTAATTATACTTCTTACATGAGGCTTCGTTTGAGATGGCTTTCTTATTAGTTCTTAAAGCAAATTTTAGTAGTACAAGAATTAAAATTTTTGTACTAAAAATTTACTTTAAGAAGCAATAAGAAAGCCGTCCCAAACGAAGCCTCAATTAGACTATAAAATGAAAAGACATAATCATGAAACAGGCGGTATATTGAACGGGAAATACTAATTGAACAACCTCTTGATGAAAAAATATTATTCTGTCCGGACAACGTACCGAGGGTACCGAGGGTACCGAGCGCGATATCGAGCGTGGTATCGAGCGCGATACCGAGCGCCGAGTGATGTGGCGCTTTTTTATTGGTCTCTTGACACATTCGGTGTCCGGACGCAATAATCACTCCTTGATGACTATCATACATTGTTTAAAGATTTTACACATGTAAATTCTTTGATGCATTATGGGTTACTTTTATATGCTCTCATTTTCTTCATAAATCGAGTATGTGTATATCGCATACTCTCATTTGCCATGGCATTTATCACTATAATTACTAAGATGTCTTATTTGTTAATCTCATGAACTCATATGACTCAAGTGTTGTTTATTAATAAATTGTGATAATAAATTTCTGTTAGATATTATCTAATACTTTTGTTAAGTATTCTATAAATTAATTAAATAAGTTCTAATTATATCATACAAATGATAACAAGTTCAATGGAGAACTACTTTTGCCTATGAATTGACTTATTTGTGAGTCTCCGTTGCACTTTAATACTCCTGTAAAGGTCTTTTTGGAGCTCCTTAATCTTAGAGGGTACTTCTGAACCTTTTTGACGAGTGACAAGCAGTTCAACCTAACAGTTGGCTGATTATTTCTGAACATTTTATTCAGAGAAATTTTTCTGTGTTTAATAAAATATTCATCAAGAACAAAAAAACTTTAGTTCTTATCCTTGGAGGTAGACTCACATGCCCATTAGGATGCTTGAAAGGCCAGGTCCACAGGTACTCTAGCTAAACCTTAGCCATCGATCCCAAACACACACACTTCTAGTGCTGATAAAAACCCTCAACATGCACACATGTGCATGCCGACACCATCCTACCATTATTTCATAGAGTTGCTTCCATTGTTTAAAATTACACAAGGCGCACCTCAACATCAATTACTTGAGGCCCTCATATATTATGAATGCACCTTTCTGTGAGACATATCTTTTGAAGAAATATACAACTAAAACTAAATTGAATAAAACACTTCTACTTGCTCAAATAATATTCACACCTCACGCACGCACGTAGTATAACGACCATGAGTTAGTAGATACTGAGAACTTCTCCTCTCATGCAATCCCTTCTTCACTCTTCATGTGTGCTGTTGACCATCTCCTTCCTAGATGTTGCCGCCGTGCAAAGTTCTTTTCCTACATGTAATCTCTCGATTTGTTGACAATCCCTAAACCCTAATTTTTTTTTCTTTCTTAAACCTAATTTCTTTTGTATATTAGAGGTATTTATTTGAACATTTGAATGTTTCAAAATTTTTAATTGAAGCTTTCATGGTAAAGTTATGTAAGAAATGATTAAAGGTAAGGAGAAATCCATAATGGATCATGAAAAAGACTCAGCATGGAGGAATAGCGGGCAAGTTGATATTTGAGAGTATGATAAAAATTAAATTTATCTAAAGTGCAATTATTAATAGAAGGTTGTTCGAGGGATGTTACAAGAATGATACAGCATCTTTTTGGCTCTCACAAGAATGTTGCACTGTGTGCTAAGGTGCTAGAGGCTATGAAAAAGATCTATACATACTAAAGAAGATAACAATATTAAAATATTTAGCAAAATGATCGTTTGATGATAGAATAAATATTAGTTATTATTATGAAAATAGAACAAGTGGCAAAGATTTCTCATTTTCTTTGCAACAAATATCATGTTAGAATGTTAATGAAATTTATTTTGTTAAACTAATTTTAAATTATTATAATATTAGTTCTTACATTCATATCTTAGCTTACTTTGATGTTTGCATAAAACTTCTACTTTGCATAATTTGTTACTTGATACTTTGTATTATTTATTACTTCTTATTATGTTAGAATGTTAATGCATTAGTTATTAACGTGTTAATAGGCTATAATATTAATATGTTACTTATTATTTCATACTTATATATGTGTACAATAATTTTTATTCTGCGTAAATTGCTGATTTTGAGGGTTACAACTTACAACTCATCTCATGGACGAAAAAAACCTCAATACCTGGTTGAGCAATTTTAAACATTAGTTGCTTCCAACTCAACACTAATTCCAATCTAATAGGTCTCAATCACATCGATCCCAGTGATGCACTGACATGATGTCATCAACATTCCATCATCATTGTCATGCCCAACATCTTGTTGCATATGATGCCACACTGCCTATAAGTCATCAGCTCCCCCAAGTCAGCACCCCCTAAGACCATTCAAGGGTCATAGTCTCACCACGCTCTCATGTTCCTCCCTCTTAAATAGGTATGATTTCCCTTAAGAAAGTGTTGCCGAGATTTCTCCACCCACAGGTTGCAAAGGAATGAGCCTGTGTTTACAAGCATGGATGATGGAATCCTAATGTAGATTAGAAGCTACATGTGGACATAGACCATTAAGGACTATCAATTGTGTCCGTTTTACTTGATAGTTTATATTTACTTTCATTACATATTTACATTATCTTTATTATGCTTTAATATTGTATGTTGATTAAAGAGATAAAATCTCGTGTTCTTGAGTTAAGTTAATCACTTTCTGTATGATTACTAGTTATAAGCTATCCTCTTAGGTTAAATCCATTTGTATCGACATAATCTATTTTGTGGGAAATTGTGATTTGGTATTTGTTAAATTTAATTTTAAAAACTAGTGCAATTTAACATATTATGTAATTATTCTCATATTTTAATCACTCTTTACTGAATCAATCATTCAAAATTATTATTTGATTGTGTAATTATATTTGCAGGACCAATTTACTTGATAAAAAAGATTGTATAGTTATAATTGAGTACGGCATTCTTCATTGACCTTAAAATTGATAACTCACTTACAATATATCACATTTGGTATTATTTGTTACCAAGAGACATACACCTAGTATTGCTTATTTAATCTGTGAAGCTTGTTAACATATTCTTAAATTCCACACATTAGTTTGTTTGTTACATTTATAGTAGCCGTTATATGTATTTATTATTAATTTATTATACCTTCCACATTGCATTGCGCTTGATATTATAGCATCCAAATTGGAAAGAATTTCATAAGAAAATTCTATAATACAAGAAAATGACCATCAGCTTTCTTGCAATACCATTGCTTGTTTTTAAACTAAAGCATGTAGAACCTATGTACTCTTTTGCAAGTGAGGCTGTCTTTAAGCAAATATGGAGCTTTCATCCTTAATTGTGAGCTTTCTCCCATGTTTCTCCCTCCTTGTTCAAGAGGGCCAGTGATGGGGACATCGAAGATCAACGGCTACGTTCGTGTCTACTTATTTTGAATTTTTTTTTGTTATTTGTACTTTTCCATTTATACCCTCACTTGAGGGCTTTGTCTTATGTTTGCCCTAGGGGCAATTGTGTCTTTTTTGTTTTCCTTCATGTATTTGGCTATTTAAGCCCTCCCCTTCCTCTTGGAAAGGGATGATGATTATTGAATGAAAATTTTTGCTCTTGTGTTCTCTTTGTGAGTTCCCTTTTGACGATCTCTTAGTGAGTTCATTTCCCCTAGATCTCTGTGTGAGTTCTATGGAAAGCCCAAGGTGAAAGCAAAAGCAATACCCGCCAGTCGTTGGAAGAGTCCGTGGCTCGTGGTCTACCTCCACCATCCCAATTCTCCTTATCCTCCATTACCCGCCGGCCCTAACTCATTCCCAATATCGTGATCTTCGTTCTCTTGGATTTCCTCTCATAATCCTTCCCCCCAATCCTCCATCCTGCCGCCCCTTCTCAACTGGCCGCTTGTTGCCCGCCGACTGCACCTCACCATTGGCCAAGAGGCCCGGCCGCCCAACCCGTGAAGCCTTTCAGGCTTGCCGCCGGCCACCCCCATTGAATCCTAAATTCAAATGTCAGTTTTCATTAAGTCCTTTATTACTTTCCTATTTAGTTCCTTAATTTGAGATCTCCAAATTAATTAGATTTCAATTTGAATTTGTAATTCAAATTAATCTTAATTAATACCCTCTTATTAGGAAACTTCTTAGATTTAAAATCCTGAAATTTCCGTTCAGAATTTTGACCAAAAGCTGTGATTAATTGCGGGCCCCACTGTAGTTAATACAAAGCCTCTCTCTTTCTCCCTATGGCCGGCCACCTCACCCTCATTGCTTCTCTCTCTAATTGCCACCTCACCACCACTTAAATACCTCTTAAATGCCTCCTCACATAATTAATTCCATATTTCATCAGTTTTAATTGCAGATTTCAAAAATCTGAAAACTGAAACGGATTCCCTCTCTCCTCAGTTAGCTCCCTCATCCCGTAACCTGCTTTAATTTATTTCCAAATCAAGAAATTTC